ATGGCTTGTAACATTTGCCCTCTTCGTTCTATAAATGAGTTATATTGTGGTCTGTAAGGTGCAGAACGTTTATGCTCAACACCAGCCAATTTCAACATAGTTTGGAATCTCTTGTTAACAAACTCAGCCCCATTATCAGTAACTAAAGTTTACTTTTCATTTTTCTTTCAGCAAACCTTAGCCAGTTAAAGAAATGTTGGAATGTTTCTGTTTTGTTTTTCATAAGATAGCAGAAACCATACCATGAGTAATGGTCCATAATACTCAAAATATAACAGGCACCTCCTAAATTTGGTTTCTTAGGACCAATTATGTCAGCAAAAACAACCTCTAAAGGTTCTTTGGTCTCAAACCCATTAAGTCTGTTTGCTGGAGTAACCTTACTCTTTTCTTGACTACAAGCATTACAGTTTAAATACTTGCTACAGGGTTTCAATTTTACTCCCTCTGACAATTCAACAGTTTGTTTGAGCATTTTGAAATTAATGTGCCCTAGACGTCTATGTAGTAAATGTATACATTCATCATGTGGCTTAACATTGTTATAATCTGAGTTAGCCATCTTCAACTGGTCATCATGTATCACATATAAATCATTTTTTAAAGTAGCAGTAATACTTTTATCCTCTTTCTCTATTATACAGTTATCTCACCTAAAGATTGCTACATAACCAATATTAACTAAAGCCCTTACTGATAACAAATTAAATTTCTGTGTAGGTATATATAACATAGTTAAATGTTCGTTTATACAAGAACAATATGCAGTACCTTCACCTGATGCATTCATCTTCCATCCATTTGCCAATGATACATGTTGTTTACTCGTGGACATCTTTACAAACCTTTTTCTATCTTTAGTAATGCACTGTGATGCTCCACTATCAACAACCCACAAATCATTGTTTACAGTTGAATTGCTAGACATAGCTAAACTAACATTCTTCTTAGCCTTCTGGTGTTTACTAGTATTCTGTTGTTTTCCCTTCTTACAGAATTTAGCCATATGTCACCTAGCCCCACAAGAAAAACATTTTCTTACATTATAGGCAGTTGAAGACAAATTCTCTTCTTGTGGTTGTTCCTTCCTCAGTTGGTCCCTATCCAGCCATCTTCTTCTAACCATCTTCCAGTTATGTCAGTCAATGTCAGTTTATCTCTGGGCAGAGCTTCCAGTGAAGATACATAATCATCATAGCTTTCATCCAACAAGGAAAGAATGATGTAAACTTGATGCAGCTCTGAAAATATCAGTTATTTTTCATGTGGCTCTTGAAAAGTTCTTTTCATGAGCTAACATATCTCCACCTTTCAGAACAGTTTACGTGTAAGATGTATGTGTGCACCTACACTGTCACGAACATAAATCCTCTTCAAATTCTCCCAACATTTAGCAGCAGACTCTTCTCCATGAATATGGACAAGCTACTGGTCACTCAGTGTTAGTCCAATTATACAAAGAGTTCGTTCGTTGTTCTGTTTAAAGTCAGCAAGTTTCTTGGCATCATCGTCATTTTCTGGATCCCAAGCATTTACATCTGGGACTCCTAAATTTTTACAGTGTATTCTTGCCACACAAAGCTTCAGTAGCTGACCCTCTTCACAGACTGCTAGCCAAAAAATGTCTTGGTCCTGGGGCACAAAAGAAGCTGCCGTGTTCTCCGCTGTCAAGGACTTATCATCTAACAGCATCCTGGTACAGTATGAGAACCTTCCACTAGTTCTCACCTGCGATACTTCCCATTTGGCATGGGAGCAGTCCTAAGCCACCAAGTCCCAAATGGAGAAGAGGCTCCAATCCCATTCTATTCACAAACTTTATCATCAACTGAATGGAATTACAGTCAGCTGGACAGTCGCAGGAGTCAAATGGTTCCATGAATACCTATACAGCAGTCCTTTCGATCTTGTGACAGACCACAAGCCACTGTTGGGCCTACTCGCCAGAGACACCGAACACCAAACATTTTGTCCCCTCGCATGATGCATTGGACAGTTTTCCTGGCAGCATATAGCTACCGCCCTATACATCGACCGGGTAAGTCCAGGGACGCTGACACCCTCAGCCAATGCCCATTCCTGACCATTGTAGAGGACCAGCACTGATCACCTGCATCCTCCTACTTGAGGAACTGCCTCCGGCCCCATTACGGTGGCAGAGATCACCAAATATTCTGCCAAAGACCAAGTCATTGCCTAATACTCAACTGGGTGTGGAAGGGGTGAACCAAAGGGCCAGTTAACATGAAGTTCCTGCCTTTCCACGCCTGGCAACATGAACAGTCAGCTCAACAGGGTTGCTTACTTTGGGGGAATAGAGTCATAATCCCACAGAAGCTGCGGTGACCAGTCCTGGAAGCCTTGCATACAGGCCATACAGGCATTGTAAGAATGAAGGCACTTGCCCAGTTATGTTTGGTGGCCCAACATGGATAAAGCCATCGCTGAATGGGTTGCCTTTTGTCAGCTGTGCCAAGAGTCAAGACCAGCACCCCCATCGGCTCCCGCATGCTAGTGAGAAGTACCCAAAACACCTGGTCAAGGGTCTATATTGATTTTGCAGTGCCATTCTAGGGTCAGACATTCATGGTGGTTGTTGATGCATACTCCAAATGGCTGAAGGTGGTACTAATGCCATCAACCACCTCAGACGCCATCATCAAAGCACTACAAAAAGTGTTTGCAACCCAGACTACCAGACGTCCTGGTGTCAGACAATGGGCCACAGCTCATGTCTAACCAATTCGAACTATTCCTGGCAGGTCATAGCGTCCATCATGCCCTGATCGCATCATTTCATCCTGCTAGCAATGGGTAGGCAGAGAGAATGGTAGTCAGCAAAAGAGGCACTGGCACAAATAGGCCCCAGGAACTGACATTGGATAGCCAAATATCTGTTAGTCCAGCATGTTACATGTGCGACAACTAACCAGAGTCTGGGAATCCTCTTCCTCAAAAAGCTTTTAAGAAGTTTAAAAAATCCCATAAATGTAAGCCCAGGATCCTGGGTAAATTCAAAAATCTATTAAGGTTCCCAAAGTTCTTGTTGCTACAACTCAGTCACTAAATTTTGTCCATAGGATAAATGTTTCTAATATTGCAAAAAGAAGTATCATTAGAAGCAACTTAATTATAGAAGAGGATTCCAACCTTTAGAAATGTGTTCATGAGCAGGGGTGTAAAACTCAATTTAATTGAGGGCTGCATCAGCATTATGGTTGCCCTCAAAGGGTCAGTTGCAGGTAAAACTATGACAACGCATAGCAACCATGTGAGTGTAGTTGGGTAGTCATGGCTGGGTTGCTGTGACTTAGGTGGGTATGGCTGGATGGCTGTGGCTGCCATGAAAGTGTTGTAGATCAGAGTGTAGACACCCAGCAGCAATGCTGCACCTGCCACCAGCATCTCTGCGGCCCACTCGCCAGCCTAGCCTTGACACTGGCCCTGCAGCCCATGAGCACTTTCCTTTCACCATGATACTGGCCCCCACACGTGCTTGCCAGCCCAACCTCGCCTGCAGGTCCCACAGCCTGCAAGCATTTCCCTTTCATCGGGGACACCAGCCCCTATGCCTTCTCCATCTCCTGTGTGCACGTTCAGGAGGAGCGCCCAGCTGGGCTGGAGGGTCTCCAGAGTGTCCCCACGGACCAGATCTAACCACATTGTGGGCTGGATCTGGCCCGTGGGCCGTGAATTTGACATGTCTGTTCTTGAGAATCTTATGTAGAAAGGATTCTGATTCTATAGCATTCTTAATGGTGCTGATCAGAGCATACAAATCTTCAAAGTTGATAAGGCTTTCAGGACTGTGATATGAAGCAGCCCCCTTCCATTTACAGTTCAGAGGGTTGGCAAGAGCAGGGTACTCTTAATAAAGACACCAGAATGAGCCCCTTGAAAGCAAAAAGATTTTACCTTAAGAGTGTTTCCCAAAATCAAATGTCAGTAAATCAAAAATAGATTTAATGTTTTTAATAATTAAATTAGTCATTCCATAAAACTTATCCTTGCAAATCACAATAAATAGAATATATTTTGCCTCCTTTAATACCTACTATATACATTGCTTGAATCCACAAATTCATCACAGGGAACAAGCCTTCAAAACAAGCCTTAAACACTTTAGCCAAAGATAAAAGATTCAGCACACTTTAGAAGTGCATAAAAGGCAGGGCCAAACACCAAAATGTCAAGAGGGAAACAGCTACTAATGGCTCAGGAATCATAAGATCTCCTGAGATAGAAACTAGAAAAATCACAAAATAGGTGAAAACTTTTAAAAAAATACGTTAGACTCCTATACAATTAAACCTTGTGGAATTCTGGACCCCATATTTGGCAGAAAAATGGGAACAAATATCTTGCTCACCAAAAAGGAAAAAAAATCCTAGTCATGTTTTCCATTCAAGGCCAGTTTTCTGCCAACCACCCCTTAATATATTTACTGTTGGTGCTTTATTATGATAATCACTATGATAATTCTTGTTAGGAATCTAGTGCAATGCATCAAAGAATTGCTAGATCCTTACATATACTTTGAATAGAAGAGAGAGGCAGAATTATATCCCTGGAAGAAAAACACCAAGCATCACCAGACTGCTGAAATTCTGGGGTAGGTTGTAATGGAAGGAGGTCCCAGTGTAGTAGCAAATGCGGGCTTTGTCTCAAAAAGAAAAAGATCTGTTCAACCTAAATGTTTTCCAAAATGCTTCTTCTAATTTTGGGGACCATTTCAAGGGAAGAAATGCAAGAGGATAGTAACTAGGGAAGGTCAAGCAGAGATGCTACAGTGCAATGTGATTCTCAAGGGATTGGCACATTTGGAAAAAGCTGGAAATTAAAAGTACCGAGAACTCATATAATATGTATAAATAGAAACAAATACTTAAACGCATATTTTGAGGTAGGGCAGAAGGAACTATCTTTGTTCCAGGGCTCTGGAGAAAAAAGGACAATCTTGGGGAATAGAGGCCTAGCAGGCAGCAGAAAGTTAGCTTGGTCCAGACCGGAGGGGTCTTTCTGAAATTAAGCTGGGACAGAGAGATGCTGCTCAAGAATGCACTGGATGTGTGAAAGCCCGAGATGCTCTGCTAGCTCCAGTGGTGTTTGCCCCTTGGAGTCCTTCTGCTGCAGTTGGGATTGAGGTGCCAGGAAGCAAACCACATCTGTGTGACCTTCTTGAATAGCAACATGGATGGGCAGTGAGCCAGAAGCATCTGGGACATTGACATCTGCACCATGCTCCACCAAGATTTTCAAGGTGTCAAGAAAGCCAGTGCGGGCAGCATCATGGGCTGGTGTTGTGCCAGACCCATCTTGGATGTTAGGATTGGCACCTTGCTTTAGCAGTTCTTCAGCCACAAAGATATTGCCAAACATCATTACCTGTGGGAAGATGAAAGAGGATGAAGCAGGGGATATTTACAGCCTCAACTCCTCTCAGGTGAGCAGGCAAGCCTTAACCCCATTTACTGATTATGGGAAGTAATAGGGAAGGCTACCTTCTATTGAAGACTGTTTGAACAACATACTGAGACATAAACAAATAACTATAATTTAGTTATTACATAGTTAATACATGATTTAATTATTTGAGCAAGATTTCAGCAAAACTGAATTCATTAAATAAGCAATTATTATATTAATCATAACTTGCACAGTACTAATAGAGCCATAATTATATTCATAGACTCTAAACAGAAAATCACAAATCCCATAATTCCGCTTGTTATCTGTTGTAAAAGGAAATAGGCAGGCAAGATAAAACAGAACAATGGAGTTGGTTGAAGAGCCTAGGCAGATCTACCAGTAATTATACAAGATAGGGTGTACATCTTTTCCCCAAATTAGTTGTAAACAAGCCACCTCATGCCCTTTAAAGGACCCTATTTGGCTTGAACCCAACAGGAAATAGGGCTAGCCTTTCGGCCTGTGTCTGTATACTATTTATTTAAAACACAACAATTATGTTTAAATGCTGGGTGAGTTTTCATGCAAAGGTTGAAAAGATGGAATTGACTATAAAAATGTGGGGAGGATCCTGTGGCCTTAACTTGAGCTGCAAACTAAATCAATTTTGGTTGAGGGCAATGTCCTTGAAACGGGCAGCAGCCACTTTTCCCAGAAGTGCCAGACTAATAGGAGTGAACTGAGACTGGGGAAAACGGCAGAATCAGAGCCCCTTCACCCAGGCCACCGGTGTCTCCAGGTGACACTGTTTTCTCTCTAAGACACAGGAACCATGTGATGCCTCACTTACCTGCAACGCGGTCTTGCCAAAGCGATTATGGGAGTCGGGATGAACCAGCTCCAGATGCAGAATGTGTCCGACTTCAGCTATATCTCCCCGGGCAGCAGCCCCGGTTAGCCGGTCTCCAGCCCGGATCTCGGCATTTCCCGGCTGCATGCCCGCACAGGCACCTGTAGGGAAAAAGGACAGGCGAAAATGAATGAACTGACAATCATCCGAACAGGATTCTTGCGCTGCCAGAAGCAGTTTTCTTTTGCAATGAAGGTATTGGCACCGAAGCTCCCGCAGAAGTTCTACTCCCCACTATTTCCAGGATGCGGGAAAAGCTTCTGTACAGGCGTAGATGCTCAGCATCGCATTTCACCCTTGACGTTTGACAACAGGCCGGCAGGGGCTAGCTACATTTTTCCCACCTCTCCGGCGGCGGCGGCCTTCCCTCGGGCGGTAATCCTGCTCGCTCTTCGGCGCTTACCTCCACTCCCGGGAGGTGGGCTCTTCTCCAAGTACTTGTCAAAACAGAGCAGAAGCCAGCGCTTTGCTCCGTGTTGCCTACCCGGTTACAGGACTGGCTTCGCTGCCGCCCCTAAGAAGGGGCTGGCCCGGTTCAATGAACCCGTCGGGTCGTGACAAGACAGATCGTTGCAGATGCTGCTAGAATGCCGACCCAGGGAGGTGTCTCTGGGGGCTCGGCTCCCTCGGGGCGGGGTTGTACTGAGAAGGAAAGCCGCTGAGGACTGCCGTGGCAGGCAGCGCCGCCTGTTCCTTCGCCTGCCCGTCCAAGCGAGGTGCCGGCACAGATCGTGCCAAACCCACCCCAACTATTGAGCTGCAGCCTCGGCAGGACAACAACCCCGCCCTCTCGTGACGGACGCTGTGGCTTTTTTCCATTTCATTCCGCGCTATTAATTTGGATATATTGTAACCTGCCTGATTTTCCATTTCTCCGCCCTCGTCTAATCCGACCAATCATGAGCCAGCTCCGGGCAGGAGCCGGAGAGCCTCGTCGTTGGATTGGTTCACTAGTGGCGGACTGCTGGGCGGGTCTCTTCGATTCAAACAGTATTTCGGGCGGGAAGAAGCTATCTCCGACTTTCCCCACTTCGGTTGCATGCAGGCAAGGCCAGCCAAGCCAGAGGTCGCGACCTGGGAGGGGGTGGGAGGAACGCGAGACGGCTCTCCAAAATGATTCTTGCCCTGCCTGTGTAAGTAAGCAGCCAGTCCTAGCCATATTGAGCTTGGAAATCAGCGCTTTCGACAATCCTCGACCAAGTTTTATAACAAGCTCGCTCTTGTAACACAGCAAGAATAATTGCTTTTGAGCAATTATTTGAAAAAAGTTGGAAGTTACCTTTTTTCTATTTTTCCCTTATTTTTTGCATGTTCCTCTTTCCTCTTTTTCCATTTTATTTCATTTTTTCCTGTATATTTTATGTTTTGCACAAGATATTTATCTTTTGCACAAAATAATATTTTCTAAAACCAATAATATTTTTAAAAACCAAGCTCCATGCAGTGTAACTCATCATGTAATCTGAAATAATTTGGGGTTTGAACCCGTTTTCAGATTCAAGATTTGTCCTGTGGAGACTGGCTGGTTTTGCTCAATACACTGGAAAACATGATCAACACTTCCTCCATAGTGTCATTAAAGGAAGATAATTTTATCTTATAATAGCTAGATTTCATAGAATATCAAAATTTATGTATTAATTATCATTTTGTTTTATAGGTAGTCCTTGACTTACAATCATTTTTTACTAATCATTCAAAGTTACAATGGTCCACAAAAAAGTCCTCAATAGTCCTCATACTATATACTGTAGAAGCATCCCCGCAATCATGATCAAATTCAAGTGCTTGCCAACTGACAGATATTAATAACAGTTGTAGTATCCTGGGTTCATGTGATCATCATGGATGACATTCCCAACGTTTCTGACAAGCAAAATTAATGGGGGAAGCCAGATTTGTTTAACCATGTAATTCACTTGATAGAATAACAGAGTTGGAAAGGATCTTGGCGTTTGTCTAGTGACTAGTCCAATCCACTGTTGAAGCAGAAAATCCTATAACATTTCAGACAAATGATTGTCAAATCTCTTCTTAAAAACATCCAGTGTTGGAGCACACACAACTTCTGGAGGCAAATTGTTCCACTGGTTAATTGTTTTTACTGTTAGGAAATTTCTCCTTAGTTCTAGGTTGGTTCTCTCCTTGATTAATTTCCATCCATTACATCTTGTTCAGATCCTTTGGAGAATTGGTTGATCACTCTTCTTTGTGGGAGTCACTTAAATATTGCAACACTGCTATCATTCTTTTTTTTTCATTAAACTAGACATACCCATTTTCTGCAACTGTTCCTCATATGTTTTAGCCATGATAGCCTTCCAATATCTGAGGGGCTGCCACAAAGAAAAGCTATTCTTCAAAGCAGGACAAGAAGCAGCAGATGGAAACTAATCAAGGAGAGACCAACCTAGAACTAAGGAGAAATTTCCTAACAGTTCATCAGTGGAATGACTTGCCTCCATAAGTTGTGAGTGTTCCAACACTGGAGGCTTTTAAGAATAGGATGGACATCTATTAGCCTGAAATGGTATAATTTCCTGCTTGAGAAGGGGGTTGGACTAGAAGACCTCCAAGATCCCTTCAAACTCTGTTATTCTGGTTGAAATTCTGCTTAACCTGAGTTTAAAAAAGTAAAACTGGATGTGACTCACTTAACAACCATCCCACTTATTGACAGAAATACCAGTCCCAACTGTACTCATAAGACTACCTATATTGTACTTCTGTTAAATGTATATTATTGATTGGAATAAATTGATTAAATTTGGTGTCAAACTCATGATGACACATCATCATGTGATATATCACAACTTTTTCCCCCTTTGCTAAACTGGGAGTTGGCATGACCAGCACGTGACTCATCTAGCCCATAGGCCATAGGTTTGACACCCCTGTCCTATAGTATCTATCACAAATGAAGGCAAATGTAAGTATCCCAGGATAATGTTGCAGTATCAAGTCTTGATCAATTACCAGGACCAGAGGTTTGTCTTTTGAATTTTTGGACTCGTGCTGGAGCCCATCCTCTCTCTCACTAGAATGTATGTGTCTGTTTATAGTGTCTATATTGTCTGTTTTCAAACTGACTGTGAAGGCATGCCACAAATAAATAATTACAAGAAGAAATAATACTAGTGTCTTCATACTAGTTAAGCAAAAGTTAAAGTTTAGCTAAATAAATCATGTGTACACAGCTAGCAAGTGGATTCACATATTGTAGCAAATTGTTTAATTGTGGTTTACTGAACGAATCACAATTGCTAAATTCACAGAACAGACTCAACAAAAGAAATCATATTATGATTTACCGTTATACTTGTATCTTGGTACAGAAATTTAGCTCAGAACTGAGAATGGAAATTGTATAATTTCTTTTCCCTCAGCTATGAGCTAAATAGATGTAAATTACAACTACTTCTTTGAAAGACAGAAAAATATGAAATAGACAGCATCACCACCAATAACTTAGCTAACCAACTGCACTCAATGTATGGTCTCAAATGGAACTACTTGTACAGTACATGGAGTGAAGCATGCAGTCCAAGATTTTGTCTTAGGCCGAGTACTTTTTAACACATCAAATTCGATTGCATCATGTGACATCACATGATACATCACTTTTTTTTTGCCTTTGCAGAGCCAGGGTAGATGTGGCCTGCATGTGATGCATCTGGCCTGCGGGTCAGCAGTTTCACATTCCTCCTTTAGCATTTTCATTAATTGTGTAGATGAGAGGATACAAGGGAAACTCTTCAAATTTGCAGTTAACATCAAGCTGGGGGGAATAGCCAACACTTTATACCAGAACATACATTCTAATTAAACTCATCCATAGCTTTTACCCCTCAATTATCAACCTCAGGGTGTGAATGTAGTTATGAAGTAAATCAGCTTTTAATTTCTATACTTTGCTGTGCCTACCATGAAAGTGTCACATTTTACAAGGGTAATATACCCTTTTCAAATCATACACTTTTATTAGGTATTTGTAGATTGTTGCCTTAAAGTATACTTGGGTCAAAGACTCATGTTTTATAAATATAGATCCTGAGATCTTTCACCACCTTCACTTTATAGCCTCTTAATGGGCCAATACTAAATTACCGATTCTCTTGAATTCAGCCTGTAACTTAAGAGAGTTGAAAAATTAGGTCTGTTTCATCCTAGAATCATCCATTAACCATGATTTCTAGATTCACATGGCACATTAAATCATAGCTTATAAAACACAGCAGCTAGGTTCAGATAATACAATAGGCCATTTTAAACAAGGCATATGATGAATTTGTTCTGAGCATTTGAACAAGCTCAGAATTTGTTTGAGCATTTGCATATCATGATAAACTCATGGGGTTCATTTTCCATCATGTGATTTAATGAGACTTGATTTTTGTTGTGTGGACCCAGCCAATAATAATAGTTTATTCAAAAACCAACTAATAGCTTAGATTTGTATGAATACTGGCCAGATTTACTTACAATTTATTATTACATATAAAATTTGCAAACATAGTTTGCAAACTATATTTTAATATAAGGGGTAAACTCAGCCAATTGCAGAATAGTCAGAGCAACACTCCGATTAAATCACCCCCAACAGTATAAATGTGTAAATTCAGCCTGGTTCCGCAAAAGTAAATGTTCCAACTTTAACCATGCTCCTATCAGACGCTCCTTATTTTGGAGTAAACCCAGTCTGCTGTCCACCGTGGTTTGGGAATGGAACTAACCAGAAGATTTGAAAAAGAATCTAAGTATAGTATATAAAATCATACATTGCAATGTCCTACCTGTCAATGAATACTTCAGCTTCAACCATAACAACGCTAGAGCTAACAATAGATACAAACTCAAGGTTAATCGCACCAAACTTGATTTCAGGAAATACAACTTCAGCAACAGAGTGGTCAATGTCTGGAATACTCTACCTGACTGTGATTTTTTCCTCAAACCCCAAAAACTTTAACCTTAGACTTTCTACTATTGACCTCACCCCTTTCCTAAGAGGTCTGTAGTGGGCGTGCCAACTTGCCTACAGTCCCTGTCCTATTGTTTCTTTTATATATTTTTCTTATTTTTCTTATATGTATCCATGTATTCATAACTATGTTTTTACTTATACCTATTATCTTGTAAGCAATTGACAAATAAAAATAAATAAAATAAAAGAATGAATAATTCGAGGCTTTCACTTGAGTTCATAAATAAAACAGGGCTGTGCCCCCCCCACATATCCAACACGTAGCCTTTGAAGCTGGCTTCTCCTTTGAGAAATTAACGGCAGTGTGTTTGAACAACTGCCTGGCCAAGCCACCAGTCCAAACGCTGTTGCTCGTTTCCTTTCTGTTGAAAGTTTTCCATCACTCCCCTGACAATGTCTTTCCCTTTAAGACAGCCTAGCTCACCTGAAGGTGTAGCTCGCTCACCTGGCTCAGGTGGTTGCAAAGCTTAGTCGAAGAGGAGGAAGTAGATCGGCGCGACAGTATGTCGGCCTCAGCAATTTTCATCCTTGACTTGAAAGGCAAGGTAAGTCTCACCACCGTTTGCTTCTTCCTCTTTGTCGCTTTCAGATGTTTGTGTGAGGGAGAATAATAATCCCCTTGATACAATAGTAATGAAGGTCTACGAATATTGGCCTCCCTGCTTGTTTGCAGATAAGGCTTTCTTTTGTGGAGGGTCCTATGGCCTTACTTCCTTTTCAACGGGGTGGGGGTGGGGGTGAATGCAAATTGAACAAAGGGAGATAAAAGTCCGTATTTAGCACCTCTGTCTTGATTGTAGCTCCTGACTTGATCATTCTTTTTCATCAGCACTGCCTGTCAAGTCTGTCTCCTTTTCCACCCATTGTCTTTTCCCTGCATTTTTCTTTGGATTAGGAGATTGAAGAAAGACAAGGAGTTCTGTAATTATGTTTTCTGCTTCTATTGTAGAGCTGAGACCTGGAAGAATGGTGCTCTCTGGAGTTATCCTCCAAAGGCTGAAAAATTTAGCTAGGAAAGTAATATGTGGGCACAATTGTTTCTATCCTGCTAAGGATTTTCTTGCAAGTTTGTTAAATAAATTGGGTTACTTTAAAATTGCATAGAGGGTCAGGTTTGTAGCAGGAAAGCTGGATTGTCCATCATGCAAGGAGACAAAATGGAAGATTTCAGTATAGTAACAGCATACTTGGCTAAAAAGCTTGCATGACTGGTCTGAAGTAGAGTTTGAAGTAATACTGTCAATAAAGAATTATGCCAATGGTGTGAGACTTTCTTTAACAGAATGGCTGAAAACAAGAGCACATAAGTCTTTATAATCCCTGGCATAAACATTACAGTATGTGGTAATTTTTGAGAGAGAGGTCTAATCTTAAGAGTAAGTTTGTATGAAAAGTTACCATTTAAAGCTGGTAAAGACAACACATTAACAATATTAATTTATTTCCTTTCTTTTCCAAGTTCTACATTGTGGCTTCATTTCAACAACCTTATTAAAGTAATATGTAAGCTGAGAATTGCTCACTCTTTACTATCATTACTATAATTTTCTGTATGTTAAACAAGCCCCATATTCTGTTTCACATACATGCACCTACTATCCTTAGTATTGTGGGAAGAAACATCCATCTGCTTCAGTTCCAAGCTGGGAGAAAGGCACTGGAGACAAAATGGAGGCTGATTGGAAAAAGGGTCAATTTATTGATGAACAGGACCACATATTTGAGGTTCTGGTCAGTAGTGGGATTCAGTTTTTTTTACTACCAGTTCTGTGGGTGTGGCAGGGGAAGGATACTGTAAAATCTCCAGTCAGAGGTGGTATTTGCCAGTTCTCTGAACTGCTCAAAATTTCCACTACCAGTTCTCCAGAACTGGTCAGAACCTGCTGAATACCACTTCTGGTTCTGGTGCAGCTGACCACATGGAGTTGAGAATGAGGAGTTTTTATACCTTCTCTTGGGCTTTGCACTTGAACTTCTTATTCCTGTGCAAGAACATGTATTCCATTGGCTGTTGTCAGATTCCCATGGGGCCATGTAGAGGTTATGTAGGGGTCATAGCTGGCTCTAGGCAAAAGAGCAAATGCAAATCCTACGTGTTTGTCTGAGCTAAGTTTGGTTGGAGTTTGTGAGGATCATGCAATGAAGGGGCATTGGACAATTCCTATTGTGGCTGAGGCCTAATCTTACCTTTTTTCAAACCTTGCTGCAGGGAATTTCAAAATATCCTATCTTAAATGGATTTCTGCCTGCAGTTTTTGCTTTGCTTATGAATAGAGCTATCTATTTTTTTATAAAAAGTTTTTTATTTTTATAATAAACATACAAATAAAACCTTTCAATTGTACAGCATGTCAGTTTGGTATATATCGTGCACAATATATTTTTTCCTCTTAATTCATATTATATTAATCAACTTTTGAAAGCAATTATATCTTTATTATACTATCATTAAAATTTTAATTTCATTTCCAAGTTATCTTTAAGAGCAAATATCAATTCTTACTGAATTATATTCATAATATAACTTATTCACAAATAATCAATTATAATATATCATTACTGTTACATTGTACTTCAATTTCTTACTCTTCTATCTAACTATTGATAGAATAAATCCCAAATCTTATAGTACTCCTTTTCTTCTTGCTGTCTAATTGCTAATGTTAATCTACTCATTTCTGCACATTCCATTATTAATCATTTCCTCCTCCATCGGAATTTTCTCATTTTACCAATTTTGAGCAAATACAACTCTGGCTGCAATTAAAACATTAATAATCAGATATGTTATTTCTCTGTTGTAACCTTCAGGTAAAATCCCCACTGGTTTTAAATCTATGTGCTGTTTTGTCATTTTTTCCAGCCATTTTAGTCCAACATCTTTTAACTTCTGCACATATCCACCACATGAGTCAGGTATCTGATGACATTTCCAACACTTCGCCGATTTATCCTTCAACATCTTTGCTAGTCTTGTGGGGTAAATGCCACCTGGAAAACATCTTATACAAATTCTCTTTGTAAGCTGTTGATATTGTTAATTTATAGTTTCTAGTCCATAATTTCTGCCATTTTTCCAGATCTATCGCATATCTAAAATTTTCCCATGCAATCATTATCTCTTTAATTTCTTTTTCCTCTAATTTCACCCCTAATAAATAACCATAACATTTTAAAATCATATTCTCTTCAGTATCTGTAAGAATTTTATCTAGTTCAGTAAATTCTTTGTAAAACCTATCTAATTATCTTTTTTATATCTAGAATGTATTTGCAAATATGAATACCAACTCATATTTATCCCTTGTTCCTCTAGTTCTTGCTTTGTTTTGAGTTCACCCTTTTTATTTAAGATTTCACTATATCTAACAGTATGTTCCATTTTAAATACATTTGGATACGTAAATGCCTCTGTTGTTGATAACTTGTCTCGTTTTTAATCTTCCTTGTGTGTCTAATAATTTTTTATAAATCCAAAGTCAATACAAATAGCAATGGCGACAAAGGACATCCTTGTCTATTTCCTTTTTTGATATTAATATTATCTGTCAAATCTCCATTTATCATTACTTTTGCTGATTGTTTGTAATATATTGCCTCAATTGTTTTAATAAATCTTTCTCCAAAACCCATCTTTTCCATTTGCAATAACATAAATCGCCAATTTACATTAACAAAAGCTGTTTGCACGTCTAAAGTCCATTTGCTTCTCTGGATGTGCTTCACAGTATTCCAATGTATTCAATATTATTCTCATATTGTCTTTTATTTACCTCTTAGACAAAAATCCATTTTGATCAGTATATATAAAGTGATTTAGATATCTTTTAAGTCTTTCTGCCATTATTGAGGCAAATATTTTATATTCTGCATTCAGCAGGGATATAGGTCTATAGTTTTTTTATCTGTTGTAAATCCATGTCTTCCTTTGGTATAAGCCTCTGTCCATGAATTAGGTACTTTAGTTTTTGTCAAAACCTCATTCATTACTTCATGCATTGGAGTGCTTAAAGATTCCTGAAAAGTCTTATAAAGTTCCACTGGTAGCCCATCTGGGCCCAGTGCTTCTCCAGGGTTTTGTCTGTTTATCGCCTCTGTCAGTTCCATCATTTTTTAAAATAAATTTTATTAAGTTTTCAAATTTTAAAAAACATAAAATAAAACTCTATACTTTGTTATCAACATCAAGACAACTTTTGTATCTCCTTACAATTTTCAGTATATATATTTACTTATTCCTTTACCATTACATCTTACTCTTGCTATAAATCAATATCTTTTATCCTTACACATCAATCTTCTCTATGGTATTTTTACATATTTACATATTCCCTCATTCTTTTCCTAATTGCCATTTTATTTTCTTTTTATTTCTGAACCACTCATACCAGGCATCCCAGGCCCTATAGTAAATTGAATCTTCTCTGTCTTTTATTTTCATTGTGAGCCTGTCCATCCATATACAATCTATTTTTTTTTATAACCATGCCTTTTTTAGAACCATGCCCTTTTTCCTCCCAGAGTTGTGCGTACGAAATCCTTGGAGCTGTTACATGATATATCTATCCGTTTTATTGCATTTTTGTGTTATTAGACCTAATAAAAAAGTTTCCAGATTAAATTCAATTTTCTGATTTGTGATTTCTTCTATCCATTGTCTAATTGTATTCCAATATTTTTTCACCTCCTAGCATGTTCACCAGATATGAAAATAAGTGCCTTTTTCGCTTCCACATTTCCAACAGTTTGGGTCTGAGTTAAACATTTTTGCCAGTCTAGCAGGAGGAAGGTGCAATTTGTAGAACATTTTATATTGATGTTCCCTGTATGCTGTAAATATAATTAATTTGTAATTTTGTTATGTCCTGAGGACTCAAGGAGTTCTCACTCAGGTCCACTCACTTTGTGTGGGCGTTATTCCCCCATTCCCATTGGTCAGTTCTCCCCAGCAGCCAGCTATAAAAGCAGGCTGCGGGGTCCAACTGGCTGCTGATTGCTGCGAGCCAGTTCCAGGCTTGGCAAGCACGGTCAGCCCTTTATTTGTAAAATAAAGTACTGTTGCACTCATGCTCTGGTTCAGCCTCTCATTGCTCAAACTTAACACTGGCGACGAGGATGGGATGGCTACCAGAAGCACCTTGCAACCGCTGAGTCACTAGCCACCGATCTACAGCCCAGAGAGAGCGATCGGCTGGCAACAAGGAAACGCTGATCCGCAGCCAGAGAGAGCGGTCAGCTAGCGAAACGAGCGATCAAAAAGAGCAAACGCAGATCCGCAGCCAGAGAAAGCGGTCTGAGTATAATAGTTAGAAGCGTCTGTAGCCGCTTGTTAGCCTCGCTACGGGGAAAGTGAAGCGCTGCGAGCCGCAGCCGCTCTGCATTTGGCGCGAAATTCAAACGGGTGTCATTTGAATTTCGAGCCAGTAGGATTCACAGCACAGCGCTGTAGAGAGTCACTAACGCCCACTTTTTTTGGCGCGAATCAAGACACCTCCAACGGATAGCAGCCAACGTGGTAACCCAGAGAGAGAGAAAGAGAGGGTAG